AAGTAACCCTAAAGGTCCTGCTTTCATATAGAAAAGTTCCTTAAATGAAATACACCTTTAAAATGACTGTGAGAAAAGCGAGGTTAAAAATACCTGAATGTCCAATTACCCTGACACCAAAATGAAAAACAATTCCACTTAAAAGTAAAAATCCTGTGTCTTCTATAGCACTTAAATTTTATTGAGATACTTGTATTCATGTATACAAAATCCAACCTGACTCCCATATAAAGCTGAGTGGGACAATCAGTTCAGTCACCCAGTAGTGTCAGACTCTTTTGTGACCCGATGGACTGCATCACAGCAGACTTCCCTGTCCATCACCAACTCCCAGAACTTGCTCAAACTCAGGTCCATCGAGTTGGTGATGCCATCCAACCATCTCATCCTCTGTTGTCCTCTTCTCCTCCTGCCTTCAATCTTACCCAACCTCAGGGTCTTTTCCAATGAATCACTTCTCTGCATCACCGTGGCCAAAGTATTGGAGCTTCAGCTTTAGCATCAGTCCTTCCAGTGAATATTCAGGACTGATTTCCTTTAGGATTGACTGGTTTGATCTCCTTGCAGTCCAACAATACAACCCTCCATTTCCTTTTGCTGCAGAGAGGAACTGATTCAGAAGGAAATTGGTGGTTTTCTGTTTGGTTTTGATTTTTTACTTTGTTTTCAGATGCTTGAACCTACACACCTTAATTGCTGTTGGGGCAAAGAGGTTTAGATAGGTAGACATCAGTAAAATCAGCATCAAGCTGTAGTGTGTCCAAACAAAAGGGATTCTTACATGTGCATTAAAAAAAGTCATGTTCTTTCAAGTAGGGTGAAAACAGCGATAAAATAATTTTCAGTGCCAATATCTTACCACTTCATTTTTATTATTTCTAGACAAGAGTGCTTATTCAAGAGAAGAAATGTATCCAAAGTTGCCTCTCTCTCTTTTCTATATATTTCTCACCTATTCTGTTCTAAAATCACTGCTCTGACCTTATTGCTTCTCCCATTGAAAACTCTCAAGAGGTCCCAGTGGCAAAGAGCGGATGAAATCCAAAATCCTAGCATAATAGTCAAGGCAGCTACTTTTGAATATTCAAGGATTCAGATCTCCACCGAAGATTTAAACTTGCCTTCCCAACGTGTATTTATTTCCACCAGTGCCCTTCAAATGTTGTTAGATGATCAGGAAATTTCACAATTTCTGGTTCATGCTCTTTCTTCCCTCCTCCCACCAAACCTTTTAGCAAATGGATTCTTCTCCTACCATCTGCTGAAATTCTCTCTGTTCTTCAAATATAGTCACTTTCTCTAAGACACTTTCCAATATCCCCAGGTGGGGTTTGGATATTATTGTGTTCCCACAGCATTGTTTTATAACACTCATTCTAATCTACTGTGGATTATATTAATGTGCATGTTTTTTATGTATCATATTTCCTACTAAAGAACAAAGAATTTGCAAGAATAATGAGTTTTTTTTCAGTCACCGAATTCCCTAGGATTTTGCTTTGAAACACATGTGCTGTGCTTAATTTCTCATGTCTGACTCTGCAACCCCATGGTTTGTAGCCCACCAGGCTCCTCGGTCCATGGGGATTCTCCAGGTAAGAATACTGGAGTAGGTTGCCATGCCCTCCTCCACTGAAACACATAGGCAGTTCATAATGTTAGCTGTATTAGAAAACAAAACAATACTTCTCTCTTTACGTCTCCTTTTTATTTTCTTCACTTCTTCTCTCTCTCTTTTTTTGTTGGCTCTTCCCCCCGCCCCCCGTAATAATGTAGACTTTTTTCTTTGTCATTTTCCATTTTCTTCTTCATCTTTCCATTTCTCCTTCATTCATTTTTCTATGCCTTCACTTCTTCTGCTACCCCTTATTTTCATTTTTACTATTGTGGATTTAGCATATATTTCCCACCATTTATTTACCTGTGCTTTTATGTTTTTTATTGTAAAATGAACATATTCTCAAGCAGTTTTTGGCAGTGCATGATTATTTAATAACTCACTCACTGGGCTTCCCTGGTAGCTCAGTTGGTAAAGCATCTGCAATGCAGGAGATTCTGATTCAGTTCCTGGGATGGGAAGATCCACTAGAGAAGGGATAGGCTGCCCACTCCAGTATTCTTGGGCTTCCCTGGTGGCTCAGCTGGTAAAGAATCCACCTGCAATGTGGGAGACCTGGGCTCAATCACTGGGTTGGGAAGATCCCCTGGAGAAGGGAAAGGCTATCCATTCCAGTGTTCTGGCTGGAGAATTCCGTGGACTGTGTAGTCCGTGAGGTCACAAAGAGTCATACACGAATGAGTGACTTTCACTTTCATTTGTTTTACTTCATTTTATTAAATAAATATTTGTTGTTTAATCACTAGCACCAATCCCTGCTCTAAGCACTGGAGGTATAAATTGGTTAAGATGAACAGAGTCACTTTTTTTCTTGGAGACTACTGTGGGAGGAGACAGAAAAAATTAAATCTCACCAAGAAACAAAAAATATTCTGTAATGCTGAGTGTTAGGTATAGACTTTGAAAATAGACACAGAATAGCAAATTGTTCATCCCAGCAATGATAGTTATGAGTATTCAGTTCAGTTCAGTCGCTGTCGTGTCTGACTCTTTGCGACCCCATGAACCGAAGCACCCCAGGCCTCCCTGTCCATCACCAACTCCCAGAGTCCACCCAAACCCATGTCCATTGAGTCAGTGATGCCATCCAACCATCTCATCCTCTGTTGTCCCCTTCTCCTCCTGCCCTCAATCTTTCCCAGCATCAGGGTCTTTTCAAATGAGTCAACTCTCCGCATCAGGTGGCCAAAGTATTGGAGTTTCAGCTTCAACATTAGTCCTTCCAATGAACACCCAGGACTGATCTCCTTTAGGATGGACTGGTTGGATCTCCTTGCAGTCTAAGGGACTCTCAAGAGTCTTCTCCAACACCACAGTTCAAAAGCATCAATTCTTCAGTGCTCAGCTTTCTTTATAGTCCAACTCTCACATCCATACATGACCACTGGAAAAACCATAGCCTTGACCAGACGGACCTTTGTTGGCAAAGTAATGTCTCTGCTTTGTAATATGCTGTGTAGGTTGATCATAACTTTCCTTCCAAGGAGTAAGCATCTTTTAATTTCATGGCTGCAATCACCATCTGCAGTGATTTTGGAGCCCAGAAAAATAAAGTCAGCCACTGTTTCCACTGTTTCCCCGACTATTTGCCATGAAGTAATGGGACCGGATGCCATGATCTTGGCTTTCTGATTGTTGAGCTTTAAGCCAATTTTTTCACTCTCCTCTTTCACTTTCATCAAGAGTCTCTTTAGTTCTTCTTCACTTTCTGCCATTAGGGTGGTATCATCTGCATATCTGAGGTTATTGATATTTCTCCCAGCAATCTTGATTCCAGCTTGTGCTTCATTCAGCCCAGCGTTTCTCATGATGTACTCTGCATATAAGTTAAATAATCAGGGTGACAATATACAGCCTTGACGTGCTCCTTTTCCTATTTGGAACCAGTCTGTTGTTCCCTGTCCAGGTCTAACTGTTGCTTCCCGACCTGCATACAGGTTTCTCAAGAGACAGGTCAGGTGGTCTGGTATGCCCATCTCTTTCAGAATGTGTTAGGTAGTTAGAATAGGAAAAAGGAGTCCAGAATGGTGGTGGCTAAAAGACAAAGAAGGGGAAAGTCCACAAAAATAGAAGAAAGGAACATCCTAGGACCGAAGTGAGAACCTCAGGTAAAACAAACAGTCCTCCTGGCTAACCCAATTTACATAGGGCAGGCTCAAGGGGAGAAGAGAAAACATATAAAAAGAGGAGCCAAAATTGGACTGGAAGCTTGTCTTCTCTTTGCATCTTTTGGGTTGGCCCACCTTCACACTTCAGGGATTTATTTTCCTTTGCTTTCTAAATAAAACTGAGCTGTAGGAGCTGTAACACTGGTCCATCTGAGGAAATTACATGGGGCTGTAACACTGGTCCATCCATTGCTTGAAATTTTTGTTGTGTTGAGACAGAACCAGAACGGAGGAAGTTACAAACTCCCCTGATGTCTATGGTGCTGTGACCCAGATTTAACCTGGCTGAAACAACCTCAGCTTGGCCCCCACGAGGTGGAGGCCAAGCCCAGCAGAAGCCCAACTCAGCAAAAGCTCCCGTGGTGGAAGCAGCATGCAACGAAAACCCAGTACAGGGGAAGTGACAAGAAGTCCTGCATGCTGGAAACTGGGACAGCAAAAAACAAACTCAGCAGAAAGCTCACGTGGCTCAGTCTCAGATTCCAGAAGACCTCTGGTTAAGGTAGAGGCCCTTGCTCGTATGACTGGAAGGACATATGGCTAACAAAGTCTTAATTCCTTTACAGGCTCTCTTTTCTTGTTTCCTCACACCCCGTGAGCAGCAGTAAGTGCAACTGAGGGACGCTGGCAGGGCTACTCCTCAGAGTGTCCCCCAGGCTCCACTATCTGCTGAGCCCCAGTGGCTGTTGCCCAAGCATGTGGGGGCTCTTCTGTCCTTAATGTTTGTGCCAAGGATCAGGCCAATGAAAACTGTGAGCACAGTCAGGTATTTAGCAGATTTTCTGGCAGGTTATGAAGGGGATTCCTCAGCACGTTTTTCTTTTTTTTCATAGTTAGGAATTCCTTTATTCCTTATCAAAACAATGTTACCAGTAAATGTAGATTAAATGCTTTTTACATATAAGTTATCCTTTTTTGGATATATGTTTCATCAGGACTCTGCCACATTTACACCATGTTCTTCCAGTGAGAGGGTAAAATTGCACGTGAATCTTATTCAAAGAACATGGTACTGTAACAGACCAAAAAAACATGGAACTTAGGAGAGTGGAGAGTTTTACCACAAACACATTTAAACTTCTTCCCAGTTAAAAAAAAAATCTGTTGTTGCTTTAGAGATAACTTTATGAATTAAAAGGTCTTATAGGACAATCCAGATGAAGAGTCAGCAAGTATTTTAAGTAAATTCCAATGACCTGAACTTCATGTCCAAACTAGATATTCAGTGTTTTCTTTATTGCAAATATGATGTCTTTAACCTGAGGTACAGAGTTGTCTTCTAGAATCTTTGCATAAGGCATAGGCACATTGGCACCAGTGACACGAACTGCAGGAGCATCCAGGAAATTGAACGCGGGGCCTTCCATGATCCTGGCACAGATTTCAGCTCCTACTCTGAATTGTGGCCAGCCTCCTTCCACGGTTACAAGGTGATTGGTCTTCATGACACTGGCTTCTATTGTTTCAATGTCCATTGGCCTGATGGTTCACAAATTTATCATCTCACATTCAATTCCCTCTTTAGACAGCACTGTTGCAGCTTCTAAGCAGTGGCCCACGGGTCTTGAATAAGCAACTATAGTTACGTGTGTTCCTTGCCTTTCCATTTTGGCTTTTCCAATAGGGATCAGAAAATCTTTTGACTGAGCTTCTGAAGGAAGTTCAAAAGGTACTCCATACATCAATTCATTCTCCAGCACCACCAGACTGGGTTATTATCCCGAATGGCTGATTTAATAAGCCCTTTTGCATCCTCTGAACTCCAGGGGCTGACCACCTTTAAGCCTGAGCAATGCCCATACCAGGCAGCAAAACACTGTGAGTGCTCCTCAGCACGTTTTTCCCACTGCTTTTTCCTCCCATCCTTCAGCTCTTCTCTCCTGGGATTTGAGCCCGGCCAAAACCTGTGGTGTCTGGCTTCAGGACCTAATGAAGCTCAGGCTTTAATGTCTCATTGCAAAAATTTAGTGAGAGATACAGCAATAGGTAAGAGCTGGGTTTGTTTGGATTCAGAGCGAAGCACACACCACAGGGTGTGGGCCATCACAGAGGAGTGTGCAATGGCCATGGAATGTGGTGTGGTTAGTTTTTGCAAGCTGGGTGATTTCATATAAGTGGGAAGATCATTCCAACAATTAGGGAGACACCCACTCTTAGGTCTTTTGACAGTGCCTTGGAACTGTCCTGGTGCCTCTGGGTGTGTCATTTAGTTTGCAGATGGAGGATCAAGGTTTAGTTGAATTTGACTTGTCATCTTTGACCCATCTGATTTTAATCTGTTTATGTTATGCCCTTGGGCTATGCCATTCTTTCAAAAGTTGTGTTCTGCCCCCTTCCCTCCTGTTTCATGCTCTTTTCCTGAGCCCACAATGTTGTCTCTACAATCTTCTGGAGGGATAACCAGAAAATAGCTGGCCCTTGTGAGAGAAATACTGTATAATATCCAATCCCTCTAGATATTCAGGCCTTCACCTTCCATGTTTCCTACAACATGTGCAACAACTGCATCTCTCAGTGAACCCGCTAGGGTGGTGACAGATACGCAATGCCTGCTAGAAGTCCATCTGTTGGTGGCATCCCTTCAAGGGCAGTTTGGCTTCCAGGGATAATGTTTGCCACTTTGGGAGCTGGGCCCAAATCCTTGCCAGTCTTCTCCTAAAGTTACAAACATACCCCTAGATCAAATCTCCACTCCACTTTTATGGACCATCTGGTCTATTTCCTCTTATCAGTTTGTTCTTAAGTTGCTTACTAACTCCTACAACCAGGACTCTGCCCCATTGTAGGCAACCTTGCTCCATCCCAGTTATTATTATTATTAAAATATTCCTAACTCCCCTAACAGGACGAGATAACCCACTCTTTGGTCATTACTTCAGTTATTACCTAAAGTGGGTCTATGACAGTGAAATGTTTACCATTGGAGGAAATCAGTGACTTACATTCCCTCAGAGCAATAAGAGAATAAGTCTTATGGCTATTTCTCCAGGTTCCCAGTCTCAGGGTACAAGCTTGGATTGCTTTACATCATGCTATCTATTCCCATCTGTGGTGAACAAACTGGCAATGAGTTAAGATTACAACCCAGCACTGGTCACGCAGAAGACCTTGGGGATGCCCAGCTCCAGTCTGGGGGTCCCATGAGGTTGACCTGCCTAAGATTCTAGTCCTCGAAAGGTTGTCACACCTCAACCTGCTTGGGGATTGGCCAGTCCAGAGGTTGCAGGAGGTCAACATGCCTCGACCTGCCCAGGGACCCAATTCTCAGGAGGCCAACCTGCCTTGACCTGCCCGGGGATTCAATATGCAAGAGGTTGTCATGTCTCAGCCTGCCTGGGGATCTGCACCCTGACCCAGGGAGGCCTGGCTCTCAGGTTGCAACAGTACTGGCTAGGATAAGCTTCAGAAAGACTCATCCCTAAGGAAGCCCAACCATGGAAATAGAAGGAAGCCTAGCTGTGGGACTATGCCCAGTCTCAGCAATAACTCAGGAGTCCAATGAGAACCACATTGCCTTTCTGGAAAGGCTAAAAGTGGCCCTCCAGAAGTTTACAGATCTGGACTTAGACTCTTACAAGGGACAGGTGATTTTAAGGGACAAATTCCTGCCCCAGTGTGCATCAGACATCAGGATAAAGTTACAATAGCTACAGCAGCAGAACCCTGCTGCCTCTTTAGATGAGATGGCCCAGACAGCCATCAATTTTATAATAGAGAACAGGAGTGGGAAGCCAAGGCTCAGGATAGGGAGAAAAGGAAAGAGAAAAGGCATGCCCAGATGCTGGCCTCCCTCCAGGGAAGCCCCATGGCAAAACCTGAATCTTTGAAGGACATTGCCTAATCTGTTGACAGGCAGGACATTGGGCCAAAGTGCCCAAACCACGACAATTCTCCTAAAATAGCTTGCTACAAATGCCATCAGTTGGGACATTGGACGGCACTCTGCCCTCAGCACCCAAGAGCCTCAAGATCAAGTGCCACGCCTTCCTTCATCATGGTTCAACAGGACTGAAATGGCCCACTCCAGCCAGCCCCCCTGTCACAGATAACCATCACGGGGCCGGAGTCAAGGGTGCAACAGGATGTGGCAGGTAGGTCCAAGAATTTCTTGGTTCACACAAGGACTACCTACTCTAGCCTGATCTACTACCCCAGAGCCTTCTCCTCCCAAACCTGTATCATGTTGGATGCTACAGAAAAAACAATTGCTAAAAGATTTACCCAAGCACTTCTTTGTTGCTGGGATGGACAAATATTTTTCCACCAGTTTCTGGTGGTCCCTGAGTGTCCTTATTGGGAAGAGACATACTCACTAAACTGGGGACCACCCTTGTGATGGGAAGCTTTTCAGCCCCTAGAACCCTATAGCTTCTGGTTACTGCTGGGGACACCCTCTTACACCCTTTCCAATAGAGAGGGACAAAAAACAATGGGAGGACAAAATTAACCCCAGGTGTGGGACCAGGGGACTCCTGGACGAGCCCACCAAGCTGAACTGGTCATCATTGTCCTCTGAGATCCCCCTCGGTTTCCAAACCAGAAACAATATCGCCTCAGAAGAAAAGCTCAGGAGGGACTACTGCCTCTAATAAATTCCTTGCCTGTGAGCTATTGGTCCCCGCCAATTTGCAGTGTAACACCCCTATCCTCCCTGTAAAGAAAAAGGATGGGACCTGGTGAATGGTTCAAGATCTCTGGATCATAAAATCATCCTACAGTACCCAATCCCTAAGTAATCTTGGGAGAAATCCCGCCCAGTGCCAAGTGGTTTACAGTCTTGGATCTCAAAGATGCATTCTTTTGCATACCACTGGCTAAATAATCCCAGTATCTCTTTGCCTTTGAGTGGGAGGCTCCAGGAGAAAAATACCAACAGATGACTTGGACAATATTACCTGAGGGGTTCAGAGGTAGCCCCCACCTGTTTGGGCAGGCTCTTAGCTGGAATCTCCTAGGTGTGGACCTGGGACCTAATGGGAAAATGTTACAATACATAGATGACCTACTAATTTGTTCTCCAGATGAGAAAAATGCCCAACAACATGCAGTTCAGGTTCTAAACTTTTTGGCAGAGAGGGGATATAAAGTCTCCTGTGCTAAGGCACCGATGATGACAAAGGTCACTTACCTGAAAGTTCATATTACCCATGGGTCCAGGAAGCTGTCCTCTGATCGAGTACAAGGAATCCTCCAGTGGCCCTCCCCACAACTCGAAAAAAGTTGCGAGCTTTCCCTGGGGCTAACTGGGTATTATAGAATCTGGATATCCAATTATGGTCTAATTGCCCATCCCTTATATGAAAGCTTGAAGAGATGGGGTGATTCAATCCCACTGACATGGGGAACTCCTCAAAAGAAGGAAGAGGCTACACTAAAACAAGCCTTAACTCAAGCACCTACCTTGAGGTTGCCAGACCCAGAAAAAGCATTACAACTTTATGTTCATGAAAAAGAAGGACTAGCCTTGGGAGTATTAACTTAAAGCTTGGGACCTGAGCCCCAGCCTGTAGCTTACTTATCCCAGAGGCTTGACCCAACTGCCCGAGGCTGATATACCTGCCTTCGAAATCTTGCAGCTATTGCAATCCTGATAGAAGATGCTTTAAAACTATCTTTTGGGGGAAAATAACTATTTTTACCAGCCACCGAGTGAAATAACTCCTAAATGGGAGAGGCCATTTATGGATGTCTAATCAAAGAACCCTCAGATATCAAGTCGTGTTGATGGGAAATCCAGGCCTGACTATATCCCCTTGTGAGGTTCTTAACTCAGCCACCCTCCTGCCTGTCTCCGAGGGCTCTCGCCCCTTTCACTCTTGCCTAGAAACCTTGGACCACTGGACAAACCCCCGAGAGGGATTGTCAGAAGATCCTCTGACCAATCCTGAGGAAATCTGGTACACTGATGGAAACAGCTTTGTCTTGGATGAAAAAGGAAGACCCAGATATGCAGTAGTCTCCAATTTTGAAACCATAGAGGCTAAACCCTTGCCACTGGTGCTTCAGCCCAATTGGCTGAGCTCACAGCCCTGACTCAACCTTTAGAGCTGGGAAAAGGAAAAAGAGTAGCCATTTACATTGACTCCAAGTATGATTTTCTGGTGCTACATGCACATGCTGCTATTTGGAAAGAAAGAGGCCACTTGTCCACTTGAGTGTCCCCAGTCAAATATGGTGATCAAATCTTTAGGCTCTTGGAGGCAGTTCATCTGCCCACTGAGGTTTCAGTGTCCCACTGTAAAGGACACCAAAACAGGAGAATGGAAGTGGCACGAGGGAACAAAGCAGCTGAGCAGGCAGCTAAGAGAGCAGCATTGAACAATGACCTAATGGGGTTGCCCTCTTAGTTCCACAGACTAATTTGCCAGAAACTCCTTCATATACTTAAGATGAGACTCTTAAGGCTAAGAGTGAGGGCTTTCAAGAAGATCATATGGGGGTGGTTCCAAAAGGAGGGACTTCTTTTTCTGCCTGG